GTGTGTGTGTGTGTGTGTGTGTGTGTGTGTGTGTGTGTATGACTCACAGGGCTGGAGAGCCACTCTGTTCTCCGGAGACTCGGGTAAACTCCGAGCTGCTGGATTCCTGTGAAGTATCAAACATCAGTTTTATTTTTTAATGTTTTAATCAGTTTAATGAGCTCAGACAGATAAAGAGTCATTAATGATCTGTTTGCTTTAATAACCAGATGACAAACACTCAGAGATTTTATTTTTGTTTTTACTGTGGGAAAATTACGACTTTTTACCMGAGGATTCAGATCTGACTCACAGTTCACTGGATTTTAATGATTATTAAATTAAATCTCACTGTGACTCAATGTTACAACAAATCCATCCATAATTTATGGCTGTATTGTATGAAAAACATTTGTTTAAAAGTTAAATAATTTAAGACCTTTAAATCTTTAGGAAAAAAACACTGTCTCTGTACAGATTTCACTTCATCCAAAATTAAAATATTTGTATTTAAATTTGATCATATTTATTAGATTTTTTTTCTTTTTCAGAAATGTTTGCTTTGATTTCTCTTATAACCTGTTGGAACTCAGATCAAAACTTTATAACCTCAGATATGAATAAACAAACATTCACAGGGGTTAATGAACTTTTTGGCTGATTTTAGCTTCAGTTTTAGCTCATAGTTCAGCTCATTTTAGTTGAAATAAAGAATCAAATCCTGAGTGTTTGTCTTTAAAAATCATCCTTATAATTTTTTTTACCTTTCTTTAGCATCCAGGAAGGCTTTAGCAAATGGGTTGTATTTGATCTTCAGGGCTGTAATCTGAACAACACAAACAGGRAAAACTTTTCAACTAAACAAATGTGATAAAAATGAACAATTCTGCTTGTAAAACTGCTTTTTAAAGAAATTCAAATCCTGTAAATATTAACTTGTTACATGATAAACCAGCCTTAATCTGTTTACACAAAGTTCAAACAGGAAAGAAGTGAATTAATAATTAGTTCAAGCTGAAAAAAAAAAAAAAGATTAGTGGGTCCAATGGTCCGTGCACTTTTTGGTTGTTTGCTTTTGATTTTAAAAACAGCTACTGAAAATCAAAACACCGTATCTTATTTTAATTTTATATTCTAAAAACTTAACAATGGTGCAACTCTTTATTTTTCTTAAACCAGAAGCTTAACACTGTAGTCCAGACAACTCAACACCAGTCAAGCAGAAGCTCCAGGAAACAGTTGGAATAATCAGAATTAAAGAAATGTTCACTATTATTTATTCCAGCTGCCTGGTTAGCTAGTTATAAAGTACAATGTGTTTATTCATCCCATTATCAGACCATCTCAGGCAAGGTCAAACTTCCGGTTTGTGAAAAATAAAAGATGGAAATTTTTTCCATTTTCACAGTATAAAAT